TCAACCTGCAACGTTTCGATGGTTTAAACACTCTTTCTACGCAATGTTATCTTTAAACTAATACAGGAAAAATAACAACAAACAAGATTGCATTTGTGAGAAATGCTATGCCACCGCATTTATGCAACACTAAATAATAGAGTAGTAAAGGAAGATTTTTTTTTGTTTCTATACAATTGAACATGAGTCTATTGAGTTTGGTGGTTAAGGTCCTATTTCAAATGACTTTTATTTTTATTGGTAGTTACGTCACACCGACACAGTATAGGTCATATGGCGACGTTCCATCTTTACTGGTGAAGGAAGACCTCAGGTGCCATTCCTGCCATTATTTCAGACACGAACGGGTACCTGAGTAGTACCACAGAAACAAGATTGCATTTGTTAGAAGCTAATTGGATAGCTTCCTCACACAAATGAATTCAAAGCCACTGTCAGGATTCGAGCCTCGGGGGCAAGTGGTTTGTAGTCAACGACCACGGACGCCCCTCAAATGAAAATCAAGGTGCAGATGTGTCTAATGTTAAGTTACAAAGGCCATAGTGCAATAATTGATTTAAAATTATAAAAGTATTCGTATTTGACCAACAATTAGGTATTTACCTTATTGCATAGCTGTGTTAAGCTTTGAAATACAGTTACAGTTTTATTTTTTCAACTAAGCATTACCTATTTCTGTAAACATACACACATTTACGATTTAAAATCATCATTATATACATTGCGTGAAAGTTCAATTTACATCTTAATCTGTGCACATGGTCCAAATTCCATAGCTGTACATCAAAGGACAAAATGGTAGGTCACTTGTCAAAATCTATGTCAGCTGACATTAAAATTAAATTGCACATCTCAAACTGTTCACATGGTCCAAATTTCATCACTGTACATCAAAGGACAAGAAATTAGCCGACTGTCCCATTGGGCAGGGCAAATTTTTGACCAAAGTGTTGAATTAAGAGAGCCTTGATACAGGTCCACCAGACAATGTTTCATGTCAAATATTTAAGCACTACTTTCTCCTATTCAGAAAACACTTTTTAGTTTCTGTTTTTACTTTATGTACATAACAATGAAAATCAATGACCCAGAACAATGATTTTAAAAATCTTGGTAGAGGTCTACTACGCAATGTTTCATCCAACTATCTAACTTCTAGCCTTTGTCAATTAGGAGAAGCAGATGTTTTAAGTTTTTTACTACGTATACCTGTGATCCCCTGGGACCGGGCCAATTTTGACCTAAGGGACAAAAAAATCGAACAACTATGGTAGAGAACCTATGGATGATATAATATACCACATATCAAAGATCTAAGCATTGTCCTTCAGAACAGAATTTTTTTAAAGTTTTTACTATATGCACATAGTGAAAATCAATGACCCCCGGGAGGGGACAATTTTGATCCCAGGGGTATAATTTGAAAAATCTTGGTAGATGTCCACTACGCAATGTTTCATGCAAAATATTTAACCTCTAGCCTTTGTCAATTAAGAGAAGATGATTTTTAAAGTTTTATTTAATGCATATAAGGAAAACCGATGACCCTCGGGGCAGGGCCAATTTTGACACTAGAGGCAACATTTGAACAACTTTGGTAGAGGACCTATAAATGTAGTAATATACAAAATATCAGAGGCCTAAGCGTTGAAGCTTCAGACGAGAAGTTTTTTATAAAGTTTTTACCATATGCATATTGTCAAAATAAATGACCTCTGTTGCGGGGCCAAATTAACCTCAGGGCTATAATTTGAACAATCTTGGTAGAGGTCTACTACACAATGCCTAATGCAAAAAATCTATACTCTAGGCCAGGTGGGTCTTTGAAAGAAGATTTTTTAAAATTTATTCTAATAATTTCCGTTGCAGTATCGTTTTGATACAACCTTGGAGGGTCTCCTTTGCACAAAATGAGGACCAAAGCCACAAACCGAATACATGTCTGTGAGATTTCCGCATGGGCATGGTCATTTTTTGGACCGGCGTTTTGTTCTCTCCCATTATAAAAGGCATTATTTTTCTTAAAATACACCATATTCTAGAGCCAACCGTTATCATTTGTCTGATTACGATTTACATTGTACGAGGTTGGAGGGTCTTCTTTGCACAAAATAAGGACCAAAGCCTTAACATAAACAATTTTCCCGTGTGTTTTCCACATGACATGGCCATGTTTTTGGACCGGCGTTTGTTCTTTCTCCAACCGTTCAAACACCATTTGTCTGATTACGTTGCAAATGCGTTATTGAACAACCCTGGAGGGTCTTCTTTGTACAAAATAAACACCAAAGCCTTAACCCAAACAATATTTCCTGGAGTTTTCCGCGTGGCATGACCATTTTTGTGAACAACGATTTGTTCTTTGTCTATATAAAGTGTATAAAAAACACAATATTCTAGCCTCCGTTTAAACACCCTTTTTCTTATGCGGCTGCAAAGTCGTTTTTGTACAACTTTGGAGGGTCTTTATGCACAATATGAGGACTAAAGCCCTAACCAAAACAATATGTCCGGGGGATTTCTGCGTGGCATGGCCGTTTGGACCGCCGATTAGCTGTTTCGATATAACCATAGATGAACTAAAAATTTGCAAAGACAAAACCTTCTTGAAACAATGTTTTACATCAGTTTGATAGTTCACAGGTTTATAAGGCTGTTACTTAGTGGTGTGTTAAAATAACGCACTTTAACGCAGGTTCTTACATGGAATGACGTCATGCACATGAACATGCCATTGTAACATGAACGCTACGTACGAAAAAAAAGTGGGATGATCAAGAGATTGTGAAGGCTTAGAGGGTCTTCTTCACAGGAATATAAGGCTCAAGAATTAGCTTCAGCAAAGAAAATGATAGAAGAGGCCCACTTAAACTTGTCTCATTTTAGACCGGTGATTAATTTCTTATAAGTAAAAATGCCTTTAAAATTTCGTAAAATCATCCATATTCTACAGCCAACCGTTTAAACACAATTTGTCTGATTCCGTTGCAAATTTGTTTTTGCACAACCTTGGAGGGTCTTCCTTGTTCAAAATGAGGAGTAAAGCCCTTTACCAAATCATATGATTGTGAGATTTTCGCATGGCATTGTCAGTGTTTGGACCGGCGTTTTGTTCTTTCTCTCTATACAGTGAATGATTGTCGAAAAAAACACCATCTCCTAAAACCTCATTAGTCTGATTCAGTTGCAAGTTCGTTTTTGTTCAAGTTTGATGTGTCTTCTATGCACAATATGTGTAATTATATATGACAGAAGCACCAAAGTCTTAACCCAAAGAATTCCATCTGGAGATGTCCGCGTGGCATGGCCACTTTTGTTTTTTGTCTATATATAGTGTATAAAAACACCATATTCAAGTGCCAGCCGTTAAAACACAATTTGTCTGATTTCGTTACAAATTCGTTTTTGTACAACTTTGGAGGGTCCTCTATGCACAATATGAGGACCAAAGCCCTTACCCAAACAATATGTCAGGGAGATTTCCGCGTAGCATGAACAGTTTTTGAACGGCGATTTGCTGTTTTCGATATTACCGTAGATTAAATTAAAAATTGAAAAGACGAAACCTTCCTGAACCTATGTATTTCATTATTTTGATCGGCCAAAACTTTACAAGAATGTTATTAAGTGGTCTGTGATATAACGCGCTTTAGAGCAGGTTCTTATAGGAATTGGCATCTTACACAGTTAGCCATTGTAAAATGAACGCTACGTGGGATGACGAAGAGATTGTGATGGTTGTAGAGTGTCTTCCTCACAGCAATATGAGGCACAAGAATTAGCCAGCGCAAAGAATATAATAGCAAGAGGCGGTTAGTTGTCTAAGAATAAATCCTTAGAAATTTCGTAAAATCATCCATATACTACAGCCAACATATTTATTTCTGATTCCGTTGCAGATTCGTTTTTGTACAACCTTGGAGGGTCTTCTTTGCACAAAATGAGGATCAAAGTCCTAACCAAAACAATATTTCTAAGAAATTTCCAGGTGACATGGCAATTTTTGTGAACGACGATTTGTTCTTTGTATATATAAAGTGAATGATAAACACCATATCTTAGAGCTGGTCGATAAAACACCATTTGTCTGATTCCGTTGCAAACGTTTGTACAATTTGCCAAACCGTTTGTGATCCAAAACGCTTTATATTCAATAAATACACTGTACGTTCCTGATTCATTGGACGAAATGCATGTGTAAGTGTTTGCATAAAAATCACACGTGCAAACGATGACTTGTTTGTTGTTGTTGTTTTTTGTTTGTGTGTGTGTGTGTGTGTGTGGGGGGGGGGGTGTTTTTGATGGGAGATAGGGATTTTTAATGCCGCATGAGACGAACGAAAAATGTAAAAACGCGGCTGAAACATTTTGGAAGCCAAAGCTAGTCAAGGTATATACTTTTTTTTCGTGAATATACAATGTATATACCTGCTGGACAAATTGATAATACGTATGTGTTGTTAATTTTATCCACTGAACCCGTTTTACAGAATAGTCATTTCAAGTGTGCAAAATGTCCTCAAAATTAAAAATGTTTCAGCTCGTAACTTTTATTACAGATAAAGCTCCATGCTCGTATTAAGAATCGCACAAAAACCCGATGTTTAAAATATTTTATATACTTTCTTCATACAATTATATATACCGTATATTTTTTTCTGGTGTAAAGGTCCATCTATGTAAGAACAATGTATCATGTTTATATATTTATATTATTATTATTCTTTATCACAATTTATATATTTGGTAAGAATTTAAATATAATACATAATGCAATTTATGGACCTCATTGGACCGCTTTAATAAGGTCTGTGTACCTTTAATTGCATATATTAATGTCAGGATTTTTAAAACATACAGTAGCTACATTGTATAGCAACTCTGAAATTGAAAGAGAGAAATGCTGGTATATTTTTGGCACAATGATTCACCAATTAACTATCTTACGCTGTTACCTAGCCCAAATATGTGCGCTGATAAGTCAGTTAACCAGCGTCGAAAGTAGGTCAAGTTTGATACAGGTAACGATCATACTAAAAATACAATCATGGCAGATACAAAGTATTTACGCAGAATGTTAGTTTTAATAGCTGTTTTTGGTGTGTGTTCTGCTCAAGTTAGTCGCGTAACAATCCTTGATGTTATGACAAATACAAATGGACTTAAAACGGTAAGAATTTAATAGTTTTATCCAATGATTTGCAAATAATTACCTGACGCAGTTTTCAAAAACATTTGAAATTGGAAGACAGTGACAAATGTTTTTACGAAGCGTAGCTAATTTTATTTATCATTACTTAATTATAATTTTGTGTTTTTCAAGACAAAAAGAACAGTCGCAATTTTGTTTCAATGTTGCGTTTACTTTGTTTTAATATGCAGATCATGCCAATTGCTTTGACATTGATTAGATGCAGTAATAGTGTATATTTTTTGACAATCTTTCATATTAGTTATCATTTTTGACTAATACCTGACAACCAAATACATATTTGAGTCATTCATTTGTGTTCTAGTCATCAATTTTCCCGAGATCAATGTACTTGAACGTTAAATATTATTTTTTATCTATGTAATATTTTTGTTGACTTTTATAATCCAAAGTAAGCTATGGTGTAGATATATAAATATGTATTGAATTAAATTACAAGACTTATTGCTCTTGGTGTAAAATGGCAATATTTATTTTGATGTTATTTGCTTTACATTTTTTTCACTAAACAGAATAAAATTTGCTCCAGTGTGTAATTTAAAGGGGAATCAGTCTACAGTGGGGCATTTTTTCCATAAGTATTTCAAATAGTGATAACAACAATATAAATTAATACTTTTGATCTTTATGAGTTTAAAAAGACTTGTATAAAATATCGGCATGTTGCTTGAAAAAGAAATATGATCGAATTCTTAGTGATTAAGTATTGGAATTTATAGGGTGAATTATAGTGTTTTGTTCTTTGTTATAGAATTTATTATCCACTATATAAATTGATGTAATATCGGATAAGTTTATTACAGACCTTCCATTAATTATGTAAGACCAATTCCCTTTCATCAAGTGAAACATACAGAATATTACTTTACCATACTATAAGAAAGAAAGTCTGTATTATATATATGTACTTTTATTGTATCCAAATAGTTACTCATTGACCAGTTACCAGAAAAACTTTTTTGAACTCTTGCTTTTTGGCAATAAGAACAGTTATAATGAATTTTGTATGTTAACATACATAAATATTGCCTACATGCTGGGCTGTTAATATGCACCTGACTCATTGTTGTTGCACAGATTAATGCGGGATTAAAAAATTGTTTCGGCATTGCAAGTTTAGCTTTAAAAACCGTGTTGCTATCCGGGACTTTCTTGTTTCCTTGAGCAAGAAACTTTACACTGACATTGCTTTTAAGTCTAGTTAATAATCTATAGGAACAAATTCAACAGCTATTTGATTCAATAAACTCAATAAAATAAAAGCAAACATACAATACATTTAAAAAGATATAAAAATTGTCATATATTGTGTCATATATTATAACATATGCAGGGTCTATATGGTTTATAAAACTGTTGATAAGTTGAACTCACTTCAAAATGCCAATATATTGGATTAAATGAGGTCACTGCCCAAGGAGGAAATTTAAATAAATCAAAGTTATCTTATATAATTAGTTTATTGTTATCTATCTATTACAATTGATTATAAATGAACAGTTGTATCAGTATCCGGTAATTCTGTTTCGAATAGCTTTTCATGTATTTTATTTTTGTATTTTATGTTTCATATATATTAATATGTAAAGAGGAGACTATATATATAAACATCATGAAATAAAAAAAAAACTGTAAGCTAAAAAAATTTAACACTTTTTTTCTAATTTGTTATATTTGGGGATATTCAGCAAACCAGGCGTTTTACGTTCTTTTCTCACTTAATTGGAAAGAACCCTTAGCCTCTTGATAATTGGAAAAAATAAGGCTAAAATTAGTAGAGGAAACTTAAATTTGAAAAGTAAAAAAGTGGTATAAGTTAAGATTCTTTTTGGAAAACAGTATGATTTTAAAGAAAATATCTATTGGGAAGAGGCCTTTTCTAGGTCTATGTTTTACAAGTTAAACAGTCACTGGCCTAGTATTTGTATTTATTTTATATTTAAAGTTATATAATTACTGTAAGTGTTAGGCAATATGGTTGAATGAGTCTAACATGATATACGTATTGATTACATTTTTATTGTTTTTTTACTGTAACTCATTCATTTCAAGGTAAAATATAGATAAAATTTAAAAGATAATAATAGTTTATTTTACATATAAACATTGTGTCGGTTAAATTTACACTCTCACATAAAATACATTTGTAGATAAGTTATGAATTGGACAGAAATTTAAAGTATAGTCCTTTATTCATTGAAACATTGCTTATAATATGATATAACAAATTAAATGAGTAAAGTAAAACAAAAGTTGAGTTTATCAATACTAGAAATTGACCAATTTCAAGATTCCAGCGTACTTTACTATAGAATCATAGAAATTATCATAAGGTCAAACTAAATAATTGTTTTATGGTAATTATACCTTTATAGTAAACATCTTTTTAAATGGCCACTGAGACTATTTTATAGGCTTATTTAAAATATTGTCCTTATTACAATATATATGTATATATAAGCATGAAATCAAATTAAAACATACTCAGATTCAGGGGGTGGGGAGGCTCATGATGACTCTGCTTTGGTTTGGCACGGTTTATGGAACCCCTGGTTTGGATACCAACTAACGTTTTCCTCTAAACGAAAATCACACAGAAACTATTGAAAATCAGCAAAATTTTTAAATTGCCACCAATTTTGGAAAAAAAAGCTACTACCCCCTTTTAATTTAGATTATTTTAAAATGCGCCACGTATCGGTGCCTGAATATTGAAAAAGGAAATTAATTTGACAACTTCTCATCTTTGGTTTGTGTGTGTGTGTGTGTGTGGGGGGGTCTGGGAAACAGTTTTTTTCTCTCTTGTGTTTACTTTATGTTATCCAGTCTTCACAGTCATATGACATTAGTAATAATATGCATATTCTTAACACTTGATAAACCTCATATATGAAGTTGATTTAAATGTATGTGAATAATTATACATCTAATATTGATTCATTTTGACCGTCTCCTTCAAATGATCAATGAATTGAAGATCATTTAGAATACTTTTTGCATACTGTGTTGTCAGCAAAATGAAAAATTGTAATTTTAAGTATCGTTACCCCCTGAATTTTAAATATATTAAGTGATTAGTCATGTTGTGTTACTGGATCAGTCCATTCAATATTTTAGGGAAAACCTTCCAACAGTATAGAACAGTTCTGACCAGTCAATTATCTGCAATATGAGTTAGAGCCGAAAAATGTATTTTTTATTATAAGCTAAGACCCACATCTCTTTGTATTGCCCACTACTCTATTATCTGAAATATGAGTTTGAGCCAAAAAATGTATTTATATAATAAGCTACAGTAAGACCCACATCTGTTAGTTTTGCCCACTAGCGCTCATAGAAAATATAAAACAACTATAGAATTATGTAATTTTCAGTTCGCATCCTGGTGTAGAGAGACATTCCCGGGGTTGTACAGTGGTTCCGGTGTGTTGACGGTATTCGCCTTCAATGACACAGCATATACCTATACGATGCCGTCATCCGAGCGCACGCGACTCATGAGCCTCACTCTGAATGAAAAAAGAGAATACGTACAGACATTCACATGTAAGTTTGATTATATAACATTCGTAAAATTCCTATTAAACGCCACTTGGGGCTAAACATTTTCCAAAGGGAGGTTGTTTCCCTAAATCCAAAAATCATTGTAAATACGTTTGGTGTTAAACAAGATTTCTAAATAACGTTAAAAGTGTTTAAGATTTAAAGTTTAAATGAATGGATTTCTTCCTTGTCAAAAACCTGGGGTCGTATTTTGACTTCCAATAATTAACTCATTAATCACTTAAAATGTACGAATTGCCAAAAAGTAACAACAAATAAAAGATGTTTCAGGTATTTGCGCAGTGACATTCTTTTTGAAAAACCTCTAATGAAAAAAAAAAATAAATAAAAAGCTTTGAAGAAATAAAAAGAAAAACATATAGGTGCTTTATGGCATATTTCTAAATCAAACATTCAGTCAGACATTTCTTTTTAGAATAAACAGTGAATAACATGTGAATAGATTATACAACACTCTTATACTTGTGACCTGCAATTATTCAAGTCTCATCTGTAAAAATAACTTTTATTTAAATTGTTGGAAATTAGCCATATGCCAATAACATCATAGTAGTTCCAAAAACCGAGCAAGTCCTTCAAAAAATGTTTACAATTATTGTAGAAGCATGCATCTATTTATTGGTCATTTGATTTTTGTAAATAATCATGAGTTATTGTCCGTTTTCAGTGGACAACCGTCGTATTAGTGTTGATCAGTTACGAGATTCCTCCACCCAGCAGTCTATAAACGGCAAGGAATTGTTTATAAATAAAAGAAACCGAATTAATGGGGTAAGGTTTTGTACAGAGTTTTATTATCGTAATCATTTGGTCAGAAAATTGATGACACTGTACTTTGACACCTTTTGTCATCATTATTCTATAGTGCTACGAAATAATCATTATTGTGACCATTATTATGTCTTAAAGCTACATGCCTCCAGGTGAGCAAAACGAGTGCAAGAAAATCAAAATTGAGGAAAATGTACTAAGAAATAAGTAAAGTTATACGATTCAAGATTCAAGAAATAATTCACATAATTATCATGTGCAATTCATGACGGATTTTGCAGTTTTAATCACAATATTTGTACTGCCTTACTTACACAGCTATAGCTGTTTTTGCATATTTGACCGTTTTTGGTAATTTACTTCCATGTGTTTTTAAATGGTGTTTGCATTTTGTAAAATATTTTCTTTGTTCACTTCACAATATTTTACTTTTAAATTCACATGTAAGAGTTCATGAAAATTAGCATTGATCTGGAGGGATGATGCTTTTACAGATTTTAGGGTCCACAGACAGACGGTTGCGCTAAAAACTAGTGTTATACTATAGGTGCATCAATGGCAAATGGTTCTTTTTCAGTTCAAACGATCTTTATTTTGGGTATGTGATAAATATAACATTAAATTCGTGTAAGTTCATTACTGAATTTATTGAACTCATTGATTAAAATAATATTACGCTCGCCACAGGCTAGCATAATATATTCTAATTCAAATTGTTCAATTCATCCAGTATTGAACTTACTCTAATACAATATCCTATATATAGCGAACATTGTTTGTTGTTATTATATCTGTTCTCAGAATCCTGGTAGTACTACGTGGAGCAGCGCCAGCTATGTTAACGGAGCAATGATTATCGGGGAACAGTTGCAAGCTAGTAACGGAATAATCCACATGTTAGACCGGCCCTTAAGTCCAATCAGCGATTCTAATGTGTATCAATGGTTGATGGAACCGGACGACCCCACAATTCCAACCACGTAAGTTTTTTTATGTAGAATTTGTAATTTTACACTCATATTTAAAGGCCATTTAAGAAAGTACATTACAAAATTTCTGACTACGGCCTTTTCCAAAATTCAGTCCGTGCATTTAAAGTTTATATTCTTTTGTAAACACAATGCGTGTAGAATTATAAATGTCATATCACTATGCACTAGGTGATTCTTTTACATCCCTATTTTACACTGTATATGTCTCAAAGTTATAAAATAAGGCCTGATTACCGAAAGGAACTCCACTGTACTCCAAAAGCCTAAAAACGTAAAACGTCTCACACACATTATATAAAACTTAATAGGGAATACATCTTCTGCCTGTTTACAAGCATAAGGTTATTTTCCACAATGCTTTTGCTTGTACGAAAGAAATGAGTCCTTATAGCAAAGGCCAAAGAAATGGTTCATTAAAGCAAGGGCAAATGAAATTGGTCCTTAAAGCAAAGGGCAAAAAATGGGTCCTTGTAGCAAAGGTCAAATGAAATGGATTTTATGAAAATACGGGCAAACATCTTTTTTGGTCTGCTAAAAATTCAACTGAAATTTTAGATAAGTTTAAAGTTAAGAATGATCAAGCTTCATCTGTAAGTTCTTACGATGTCTCTACCCTATAAACAACATTGCCACATAAACTTTTAAATGATAAATTATTACATTTAATTAAAAAAAAACATTGGCAAGAGAAAAGGTTACGTTTCTTGCTTGTACAAAATGTAATTCAAAGAAGGCTTTTTACCAAACAATATACAATGTGGACCTGCGACGATGTTTGTAGAGCACTTTCGTTTTTATTTGATAACATTTATGTCAGGTTTGGTAATACACTTAACAAACAGGTAATGGGCATTCCAATGGGAGCTAATTGTGCACCCCGATAGCTGATTTTTTTCTTTACTGCTATTAGAGAGAGAGGGATTTAATGTTAAGTATTTCACTTAACATCAGGAAATTATACATGTATTTAATAACACTTCCCGCTACCTAGATGTTATCTTTTGCATAAATAAATCCTTTTTGATCAAATGGTTACTAAAATATCTCCCAGCGAACTTGAATTGCATAAGACTAGCTCTTCAGACGTTATTGCATCCTTCTTTGGGTTTAAACATTTCTATCATTAACAATACTATAGTAACTAAATTTTACGATAAAAGAAATGATTTTGATTTTAATATTGTCAATTAGCCACATGCTACATCATATGGGGTAGGTATATATTTCTCAATTAATTAGATTTGCTAGAGAACTGCCTCCGTGGTCGAGGGGTTAGAGTCGATGACTTCTAATCCAGTTACCTCTCTGGCATGGGTTCGATCCCCGGGAGATGCTTTGGTAGTTTAGCACGGAGGAAGGTAGTCTAGTACTGGTGTAACTCTCCAGGAACTATGGTAAGGAAACTACCCGCCTATATGACTGAAATACTGTTGGGAAAAGGCGTAAAATGAAACAAACAAACAAACAAACAAACAAACAAAAGATTCGCTAGAGCGTGCAGTCTTGTTGATGATTTTAATGAACGCAATTTATTTATTACTAACAAGCTTTATAAACAAGACTATCGCTATCATAAATTGTGTGCATTTATCACTAAGTTTTACGATCGTAGTTCAGTTTTTTTTGTAGATTTAGTTTTAAGAGTTAATTGTAATTCAAAAACACTTTTAAGACTAGGTATTAACAAACCTGATTTCTATGGAAATGTGGTTTACAAACTTCCTAGGATCATGGTTCATAGTATTTTTTTCTGCATCATCAAACGGTTTATTTAAAGAGGTTATGAACCAATTTTTTTAAGGCATACCGTATGCTTAGTGTTCAACCCTTTTACAGTAAGATGCTACCCTTTCTTCTGACGGACTTATTCGAAGACTCTATGATGAACAGTTTCGAAAGCCCTTGGTACAGAATTGTCTTAATGTTCATCTTCTGTCTTGCTTCGTCAGGCCCTGCCTTCGAGTACTTTAGTTGTGGTCATTACGCTTTACCTTTTTATACATATTTACACACTCATTTATCTGTTTTATTTATTTTGTCTAATGTAACCATTACCATTCTTAGAATTTTACATGGCGGGGATAAATTTTATTTACACTTTTGTGTTATTTAGGAACAAATTGGGACTAAGTGTGAGGTTTGGCGCGCCAAAAACCCAAACTATAAAATTGATTTCACTTATCTTGTGGCCAGTTTATGACTTCCCTTTCATTTTTGTGAGTTTCAGTTTTGATAATCTATGATTAAATGTCAATACAAGTTTCAAACAAAGTATTTCAATCGGAAATAAATTTCATTATTATAATGTGGTACACATCAAAATAAAATTTATAATTTTGCACCGATGGTTAGATTTAAACAAATAACTTCCACAGCAGGATATAGAAAAAGGCAACATTTAACTAAAAGGGAAATTTGTAGATTTGTTTGCAAATCACAGGTACAAAGAGAAGAGGGAGATCACTCTGTGCCATTCCTTTGTATTTAATCAAATCAAATGTGGCATTGTCATTTCTATTTATAGAATCTGGAGAGATTTTGCTGCCAGACTATATCAAGATAGCCGGGTTTACCTCGACGTTATTACGCCCATAGCAAGGACCGATAAAATAACCTTCTTCCTCCCAAGCGAGAACGCCCTGAGAAAAATTCCGAGCTCGAAGATTCAAGGCCTTCAAGGGCAGGAGTTGGCCAAGGTGAGTGTCAGACCGTTAGGCTAGATTTGAAAGTAACTTTCATTTTCATGTTACCCGCTGACCTTTGTGAAAAATGTTCAATCAGGTTTATAATGCACACCAATTATAACAAGCTTTGCTTTGTTTGTTTTTTTGTATTCTTGTATTCACAAAGTTTATTTTTGTGTTTATTTTTTCTTAAATTTACATTGACAACATGAATATTCTGTCTTATTTTCTTTCCCTAAAGATATCTTTTAAAGCGAAATTCTCTTAACCAAAATTCTCTGTTTATAAAATGTAAGATAAAAACCACGTCGTTGACTCGATGTGAAGTTTAAGACATTTTTTTTGGCTAACGACTTTATCTATATTTTTCTGATAACTGAATATGCAGGTCATGTTTGGACTGTAAACACTCTAAAAATGCGATGTTTTGACAGATTAAGAAAAAAAAATTATAAGTTATTGTATATGGTATTTGTGTATGACATTATTTGTATACATGTGTTAAGTTCCATGTATTATATTGCATCCTGGTCAATATGTTCATGTAATTTATTATATAGTTATATATTTATAAATAGCTAGATAATTAAAATATGAGCTAGAACGTGGGTACTACTGTCTACAATTAAGGTTATAGAATTGTATGGAAACATGAAATAAAATAATATATATATATATATATATATATATATATATATATATATATATATATATATATATATATATATATATATATATATATATATATATATATATAAATTAAATGCGGCAGTTTATTTGTAGGGTATTCATTCTATTATAAAAATATTTACAATGTTTACAATGTAACTTTTGAGAGCCTTTTTCTTTGAAGCTTAAAATCAAATCAATAGTTTAACGATAAAGATCACAAATTTTACACCTTGATCTTATAAGACCAATATGTTTTCACCGTAGTACAATAACGGATTAACTTGCGTTGAAGTCTTTATAGGATTTACTGCACTTTGGTCAGCCAATGTTGTCCCAGTTTACCCCCTCGAATTAAGCGATTGTTTAAAGTTTACCCCCATGACTTTAACATCATAATTATATAAGTGTGACACTCACTAACTTAACATATCTTTAATTACCATTCTGTGTACACAAAATGTTTGCGCTTTTACTCAAACTTATTACTTAGCCTTTCTTACATTATGTAACATACTACATAAATTGAAAATATTTTAATTATTAAACTTCACGTAATTTCTCACCTAACTAAATGCTCATATACCTATGCAACTGAGATATTTTACTATTTGTTAAAAGATAGCGTAATATTTTTTGTGATAAAGGGTTAAAATTAGAAAAAGGGTTAAATATCTTGTCATGTTATATTTACATAGTAATTGTTATTGGTCCATTTCATTTTTTATCCAGTGTAAGTCAGGTTGTGCCAATGATTCATTGTCTTTAATAACTTCATAAAATAAAGGAAGACCTTTAAAAATATTTAAATTATTTATATCTACAGAATCTTTCTTTCAAACTTGATTATAGTGGTGCAGAGTTCTAAATTCTTCCAAAGAAATGTTTTTTTGGTTTTAATTTGGGGTGTGTGCAGGTAATATAAAAAGATCTGCTTCATCAAGTAATTGGTTGGGGTGAGGGAGGATTTTATAAATGTAATAATAAAAAACAGATGCTTAAAAATTCTAAACACATGTATCATCAAGATAATAAGTTATTTTCAGATTGATAGATGGACAAATTCATTTTAAATATGCAATAGCTAGCAAAGTGTTTATATATAATATTTCTTCCTCAAAATTAGATCACATATCATAGTTTTATTACTCAAAAATCAAATATGCAAAGTTCAACTGCTTTTCTTTAAGATATTAGTTTTTTGATATAATGAGCAAAATGCTAGTATTTACGTAAATATGACCATTTCATGAGTAAAAGCATACTTTTCATTTGGCAATAATTGTCAGTCTTAACTTGAATATTCTATGAACATTATAAATATTTGTTTTCATAAAAAATGTGATTTCCTCATAGATTTCTTACAATAATTATTGTGCTGTTAGATATAGAAGCTGCTAATTGATAGATCACACATTCAAATGTTTAAATTTCCGTTTTCAGTATTTCAAAATGCATTACATAAAAAACCGTGTGGTTTATACATCGTACGTGGAACATCAAGAGAGTTATGAGACTGCTTTAACGGGATCTCGTGTAATGTTTATGAGGCAAGATGCTGGGACTGGTGAGTCTTTATCCCATATTTAAAATTTGTCTAGGTGCTCCATGTATAGAACTGACATTTTAGACTAGGCGATACTATCCAACCGGTGATTTTTGTTATATAGAGTTAATAGTCATAGGCTATGTTTGTAGTATTTATTAATCCAAAAATATCGTCACCTTAGTGCATTTATCCACTTAGCTTACAGAACGTCAGTGGTTCAACTTAGGTGCCCATTCTTGCCCTTCGACGGAAGCAAAGTCGTTTCACGTTCTAAGATCTTCCTTAAATAGTAAAGCTGGAACGTCGCCATGTAACCATACTGTGTTGAAGTGACATAAAACCAAGCCAAACAAACAAACCTTAGTGCATTAACGGGTTAAGTCGTTATACAATTTAATAGTAGTTAAACCCCTCATTATGCTAATGTGACGAAATGACAGGTTATATGTCAGACAAGTATTAAGTGTTGCTGGAGCACCTGTTTGGCTCAGTAGATCATTTGTATTTAGTTTGTGATGGGCAGTTCGAAACCAAAACTGTGAGTGGCGAACTTTTTTACTTGCATATGCATATTTTTTCAATTTCTTATTGTTCTCGTCATATGGGGCTGAAGTGTTGAAGACGTTTCAAATAGCCGCTTACAATTTTATTTCATGTATAGTTATAAACTGTAAACAATGGTGAGAAAAAATAATATAAGATACATTTTATACGAGAATTAACAAACTTACATCTTAATGTAATGAATTTTAAAACGCTTGTAAGAATCATTATTTGTGAATATGTAAAATTAAATTCTGATATATGAAATCCAATAAAGAACAATGGTGTTAAAAATATTTCTGAAAATAATAAAGCCTGTTTTAATAAGCCAGGCCCAGTTAAAGACCGATGATTACAATTATCTGAGTATTCCTGAAAAATGTAAGATGTATTTTGATGTTTCAGTTCTTGTTAAATGTGGAGGTGTGACAGCTATGATTGAGCAAGGAAACATCACAGTACGTAATGGAGTTATACATATCATTGACAGAATGTTCGGACTCGTCTAAAACTCCGGAAGAGAACACATTTCCCAGGACGAATAGAATGGCAAACATTTATCTTCAAAGTATTTTAAGTGGTTAGAAAAATAAAGAACAAAGATTTTTATTGAATAAGCGTCTTCATCATCTTTTAACGTCAAAGAAATTGATATAAATTTTCACACTAAAAAAAGCAATACAAATACATAATAATACGGTGCTGAATAAAAGTATATATCGATGCAAAGAGATTTCTTTTGTCGAAATTAAACAAAAGGGAGAATTGGTAGGTACATTAAAAGTACATTCCTTAATGTAAGAAGAAAACAATAGTCGATCATCAGGATTTGTAATAACAGTTTTTGGTATTTTGGTTGTAATTGAAATTAGATTATCTAAGTCAAGGCATTGAAAGTACTCGACACCAGCCAAGTGTTTGATTCAAATTAACATATTTTAGTGTTTAAACGTGAGGTTTTAAACAAACACAATGGGTATGTTATAGCAATTAGATTGTCAAGTAAAAGCAATGAAAATACTGGACACCAGCAAAGTGTTGTGTAATGAGTAAACGAACAACATCTTTATAGTGGTAATACGTATGTGAATCTTAAAATATTCAGCGATTTGAAAGCAGAGTTATTCCAGTAAATGTGGTATGAAAGAAAAACTCGTTTTAAAATATTTTGTGCAAAGCAAAATCGCGTGTAAGGGGATTGTATTTGCTATCTTTTATCGTTATTTGTTGGTGTGTTTCACAAGGTTTTTTGCAGCACATTTTATTTAGTAATACAATGAATTCTAGACTTAAATGTAATATTATGTAAAGATATATTCAATAACCATACGCTTCAAAGACTAGAACTCTTAATTGGTAAAATAAAGATTCTCGTATAATAATTTTAACCAGTTTTTAAATTCGTTTAGTAGAAAATGACCCGCGCAAAGTAAAATTTGCAGATCTAAAACCTTTTGGGTTTTTTGGAAAGAAAACAAAATAAGGGCCCTTTAATTTAAAAGGGTACCTGTGCATGCTATTTTTCCCTTTTAAAATTTACAAACGAGCCCATCAAAATGAAAAAACCCCTTAATTGGGAATTTTCGTTTTTTAAATCTCTTTTTAAATATCATTTTAATTTAATTTCTACATTTTTTTTGAAATTTTCTTTTTTAACATTTCCAATTTATCATTTAAACAAAATTAATTTTTTAAAAATTTCGCCAAAAATTAAATTTCAAAAAATGACCAATGAAAATCATTTTTTTATTCACTTTGCTCATATACATTTCTTATGAAGCCAATGTGGAAATAAACAGCGTACAGTTGAACAATGTGCTAACAATACCATTTGTAACCACCATTCGTGAGCGAAAATATCTTTGGAAAGTGTCAAGATTACTTTTTAACACATCTGTATTTTATTTTATAATTATTGACTTTTAAACAAAACAAATCTGACTAAATTTATTTTCGATTTTTAAAGATCAAAATAACCTTTTCTTAAAGAGATCTGCTTTCTAGTAAGAAAGTGAATCGTAGAAGAGTTTAAGTTAGTCTCAGATGCAGCGAGTTCAGCAGAGCAGCAAGCCAAAAAGTACAATTCCAGTAGCGGTGCAAGTACCATAAAACATCAAGTCCAATGGTACTGCAAGTCTAAGAAGGACAGCAAGTGCAGTAGCACAGCACGTCTTATGGAGCTGCATTCAGTAGTACAGCACGTTCAAAACCACAACAAGTTAAATAGTGTAGCAAGCCCAGTACCAAAGCAAGTACAATAGCGCAGCAAATCCAAAAGCACAGCAAGCCAAATAGTGCAGCTAGTCCATACGTCGAATGGAGGCATTACTTCCTCCGTAAATGCAAGTCCCTTTCAAAGACACATTACGTAGTGGGCCCACACAGACTAATGGCTGGCAGTAGTCCTTAGAAAGAAGGAACGATTAAGGTCTCGAAAAGAAAGTAAACGATAAGTGACACAAATACCGAAAAGTGTAATGGGTCTGCGTTCGGGACGGAGATCACGACAGGTTGACGAATGATTTTTTCCTTCTTTACATTTGCATCATGCTTTTATGTTTGACACAATAAGGACTTAGACTAAACACAGTGTTAAACACATGTCGCAGTCCACTCTAACGATATGGGAAAGGTGCTGCTAAGAGGTTCTGGGCTTGAGGGTTGCTATAAAAATGCAGAAATAGGCTCTCAGAAAATATTTATTATCCATGAATATGAAGTTTGGCTCGCGCCATGAAAATCTTCAGTAGGAGTGCAAATACAAAATAATGACAAATGACACAAAATCATGAATGACAAAATGTAGAATAACAAGTATGGGATCAATACAGACATTCATATTAACCTATAAAAATACAGAAATACGCTCTCAGGAAATAGGACTTCACAAGATTTATACAGCATCAAATACGACATACATGACATGGACATGTAAATGACATAATCTACGGTGTACAATACGGGACATACATTAACAAACAACATAGAACATTAACACATCAATATGACCCTGCGACACACACCTGTTATCTCAAACAAACCAACAACTCAGCACAGAAGATAATACAAATTTATTTACAAGAAAAGAATTATTACTGAATGAACGATGATTATCATACAAAACAAATCACTTCACAAATAAACTTATGTCAACGTTTCCATGTGTCCATATGAGATACCCTATGAGGTTTCTCCTATAAGGTTTTCTTTTTTGCGGTTGCGTTGTTGTAAAATGCGATGGCGGGCATCTTGTATAGGTTCTTATCAATCAATACGATACATTCTACAGCGTTGGCAAAGTAGACAGGATCATGTACAAGGGCAAGGAACACCCTTTTAGCCATGGACATAAAACTTATAGAGGGCCCATGACCCTTTCCGGGTATGCCCGATTATTTAAGCTAAAAAATTTATAAAAAAAACTTTGGAATTTCCCATGATAAAAAAAAAGAAAAAGGGTTTTCCAAAAAAACCCCAAATTAAATTTTCAGATGCAATAAAATAATACATGGTTAATACCGCTATTTCAAAAATTCGATTTGCTGACTAAATGTCGACTGTATATTGCATTGCTGTTTTCTTCATTTTCGTTTATTCACTGTGATATTGAGATAGGTGTGCTACATTTATGTATCCAATGTGAAGTATATAAAATTTACGTCAACTAAAATCAAATAAAAAAAAACAATTCTAAATGTCTCTGTTGTTACACGATTATACAAAATTAAAAAAAAATGCAAACTCGGTTTAGTTGAGCCTGTTCAGGGAAGGCAAGATAAATAATACATCACATTTTTGCCATTTTTCGTGTTTAAATGTTGAATTCAGATGGTACAAGGGGGCGTCGACAGTAACTTGCCAGTACCGTCTTTCAATAGGCTTAACAAAACCGAACCTGCAGCATTGTAGGCATTCTTTAGGGATAAGGGTTTTCTCTATTTTGAAACTCATCTAGAAGCATTAAATCAATATGAAATTAGTCTGTCTTGTATATAAAATCAAATTGTATTTCACTCCTGGACAACGACTATTTTCACCAAACATTACATCTGGTTTAACCTCTATGAATATATTTCGATTCGACATGCACAACAAATAAATGCAATTAATTTAAATAATGTTTTATCTGGTTTCAATATCGATGTGTCAAACAGAAAATATATGTTATTGTCTTAACAGCAGAACTACTAACATAAAGGAATATTAACAGGTATATTTCCCACTACAGAAGGTACCTTTTACTTCATCATTTGTTATCCATTAAACTATAGTATGAATAACATTTCATTTATAATATTAGACGAGATAAAACCAATAAGAAAGTGTACATAACTGGTGTGATTGTGCTGTTTAATAAAAACTTAGAATAGGTTATCTGTCTAGTTTGTCATATGATTATAAAATTTTAATAATATTAAATCATTCTTAATGTTTACAGCATTTTATCGCCTTTCGAAATTGTAATTAATTTTGTTATTCTCATTGATTTTTCTTTAAAGGCATGCACACACTTTAATTTCAGCACCATATGCCCCTTTTCATAGAATAGCAGAAACTGAAGGTTCGACAATTTAACCGTAGGAACACATATGCGGATGTTTCTATATTCAAACTTCTGACATTTTCCTGTTTCAATGTTGACAAAGGGATTTAGACGGTGAAAAGGAAGCTCTGGGTTGAAGTGATACTATAAAACTATAAATATCATATATATGTATAAAATTTTGCATTCAATTTTCCCAGCGTTATTCATATATAATTTATTTCATTATTTTTTCATGATGCACATATTTTAAGTCTCGTGCACAACAATATTATAAAAAATTATAGTTTAATTAAATTGAGAATTCACAAGTACTAGTACTTGCTTACTTCTAATAACCTGTAGCCTGAATTTAAATAAGATAAGTATATAATACAATAGCATAAACATTGTGTGTAACAACTATTAAGAGGTACAATAACAATATGATTGTCATCTTAAACGGCAAAATTAATATATTAGAGTAATTTTGGCTTTATAAAAGGAAATAACATGAATTAATACGTAATCAAATAGAATTATAAAACAATTCAAATACTGTCTTTTCTGTTTTAATTTTTATACATTCATGATTTCTTAAATTTTAAATGCTTCAATTTGATCATATTTTACAATCTTATATTTGTATTAAGTACTACATATCATATTTTTAGATAAATATTTAGAAACAATATGAAGAGCAAGATAACTATTATATGTACTCCGCAGAACAATTACAACCATTCTGGCACTTAAAACTCGATATCCGATAAAAAGTGTCACATCTTAAATCAAGCAACACATAGTTCTCCCCAGCAGTCACGTACAAAACGCTTCTTAAAATCTACAGGTGGATGGGGACAAATTTCTTAATCTGGCATGTAAAAAATGAAAATTCACATCTTCATAATATCAAGCATTGTTAATGCAGTTCATTACTGTAATATGCAACAAAGTTATGTTTTGCTTACTTATTCTAGAAAACATAAACTATCAGCAATTTATAACATGCATTTTTCTTGGAGATAAAAGCATATCAAAAAGT